GGGGAGGGGAGGGGAGGGGGAGGGAGGGAGGGAGGGAGGGAGAGAGGCAGTGAGGGAGGGAGGGAGGGTCGACAGTGCCGCAGCTTCTGGCTTCATTTTCTGGTCTGGTTGAAAGCACAGTTAAGCCGGGAGAGGGCTATTCTACGGCTGTCTGTTTGGGCTTTCTGAGTGATGCACTGCTGGATGTCGATGATTCCGTCCCTTGAGTTTTCAGGCTTCGATGCTTTGGGATTTTAAAGTTGGACCATCCTAGCAAGCACTGGCGCGTTCGGGTTCAGGTTTCCGGTTGTCGGAAAGGGTTTGCAGCCAGACAGACCTTGAAAAGTCCAGCTTGGTGCCGCCATCGCGTCAAGTGCTCGGCAAGAGGTGCTGCTTCTGTCCCCTCGAAGGGACCGAAAAGCTCAAAGCCCCGAGCCATGAACTCGAGAGTGCCCAATGAGCCAAGACATGCCAAGACACAGCTGCTTGAGCTTCGCGAAAGCTTTTTCGGAAGGCCGTTCGCATATCTTAGCTCTTCATGATCTCGCGTCTGCGGGGTTACAGTAAGGGTTCAGGAGCTAGGCTGCCGGCTTCGGACTTAATCTTCACACGACGTTTAAGGCGTGTGTCTGCCTGTACCGTGGTGATCTCTACTATTGCTACCGCCAATATACTTGCTACGCAGTATGGATGTTAGGGGCCATTGCCAATCTCGCAATTACGCACTTGGAGGCCTGTAGCATCGCACGGTAGAGTCGAGGACATATATTAGACTCTTCTTGTCGCCTTCGCCTTCCCGTGTCATTAGGTTGTAGGGCTTGGGTGTTAAGTTTTTGCCCGTAGGCTGAAATGAGGGGTGATGATTACCTTGTAGGCCGAAGCTACTGCAAGCGAGATGCAGTCGTAAGATGGGGCGTCGTGGCGGAGCGGATCTTGTGCCGTTCCCGGGCAGTAGATCAGACCGGGCTTCGGGCTGGTCGACCCAGGCCTTCGTTGTGAAAAGCTTGGCGTTTCGTTGGCCAAGATGCCTCGGAGCCGATGAACGGCAACTAGAAACAAAAACAGTTATACTAGCAATAGTAGTAATAAGCATAACAAAAATGCAAGAATAACAAGAAGCACTGGACGATGCCGCAACATGAAGTGTCAAAGTTACACAAAGGCAGGCAAGGCAAATCCATGCAGCATGGCATGACAGGAACTTGTTACGAAGAAATGCCTCGATCCAAGGAGCCCATGACGAGGATTCTTTTGGGCAAGCTGTCCAAGTAGATACCTCACTGGGGCCGGGCATTTCAGGCGATGTAACCATGAACCATTCAGAGGATGCTCCGTAGCTGTCGAGCTACCGCAGTGCGCAGCCATCGAGTCGTGGTGCGGACGGTCAGTGTCAACATAGTTCTGAAACATGACCTCGGATGCTGAAGCCCGTCCTGTCACTGCTTCGATCTTGTAAGAGCTTAAACTCTTGCATGTCAAGCTACAATCCTGCCGCGTTTGGCCGCAATGGTTCCAAGCTTGTCTGCGGAATGCGGAAAGTGAAGACCACCAACCGAGTTGAAGTAGACGACAACAGATATAGTAGGAACCACCCTCCTCGGATTTAAGGGAGAACTACTCTGACGAGTCAGATCCAGGAAATCCAGCTTGTGCACAGGCAGGTCATCGAGGTTGATGTGGTCCACATGAGGGGCTTGGCCTTCGCCACAGATGTCCTGGGTTCTTGTTGAGGGGCCCACATTCAAGTCGTCATCAGCAGCAAAAAAATGCTGTACTGAGGTGTCCTGAAGATGGTAATTCACACTACTTTTTTAGGAAGAACCGAGCATCAGACACCACAAAGGATTCGATGGACTGCTCTGGCAGCAAGCCCCAGAAGCCCGCCACAGTCTCGAAAAGTTGCCGTGAGACGTCGTCGACGCCAAACTCGACACCTTGGCTTCCCAACCGTTTCCAGGGAGGCTGTCGTGATCATTGCTGCTTCGGACCGGAACTGTTCCCAGCCTAGCTGCACTACCGATACTATAAACAGGAAGCTGATAAGCTTGACAGGCAGCTCCTGGACGTGATGGACTTCCCATTGCGAAGCTCGCTTGTCACAGTGCCCTCGCTTGAAGCCAGCTGCTTGTCGACGAGATCGAGAAAACGATCGGAAACTGCACCGTCGACGACCCACCTTAAGAAAAAACAACAGCAGTGTTCGTTTTTCCGTCCACACGCTTGTATGCTCTGTTTATTCGAAAGCATCAAGCCGCACCAACAGCTCTCCCGCATCCTACTAGTGGAACCAAGCGGCACTGGCAATGGCTTGGGACTGTAAGCGTGTTTGCTTACAGGCGTGGCAGTGTCTTTATTATTGCTGCTACCACTGGTGTTATTCCTGCACTTGCAGCGAAAAGCCACTACCCATAGGCCCGAAAGTAGTTCCTTTTTGTGGTTCGTATTTAGGATTCTATTAGGTAATCCCAAACAGGAACTACTATGGGGCCTATGGGTAGTTAACTGGTAGTTAAGATCCCTTCCTGACTGCGGATCATGAGAGAGTAACGGGCCTTGCCAGACCCGAGGTTGCAGAATCATTCCGAAGAAGTAGTAACTACTACAGTAATCGCAGCCCCTTCTACTAATATACTAGTTTAGGGTTTAGGGTTTAGGGTATACAGGAACTCCGTCATATTATTCTATAACTATAAAGCCTTCAGAGAAAGCCCATATAGTAACCCTTTTCCTGGCATGACCGGGGCCGAGTCACACGTGCGGCCTCGTAGATAGGTGGTTCACAGAGACGTCCATTGCGAGCGCAGATAAAACAGGCCAAGAACAGCCAAGAATCTGGGGCCAAGAACATTGCCGACAAGTGTTCATCCTGACATACATTGACATGCAGGAACGCAACATGCCGTGCGATCAGAACGCCCTTCTCGGGATCAGAGTCGAACCTGTTTCTGTATGCAAACTGCAGGAAGAGCAAGCAGTGCCCAGCCAAGGCACCCCCAAAGTTCGGCTCGGGAGAGGCCGGTGCTACATAGTTAGTCTAATTGAAACTGGCTCATTCATGTCGAAAAATTCGCGAGATAAACTGGCCTATACTTCAACGACTGC